CACGATGGAGGAGTCATCCGTAACTCAATTCGACAGGGAGTTATTGAAACATTAGAGTCAATTTTCAACTCCACTGAATGAAAAGTGTGCCTTTTAATCTTTGCCCTATCCCCGTTACACGACTATGGGCAAAGAGGGGCAACTGTCAACACACATTTTCGTCCTACTAGGATTCAAACTCCTAAAAATAGGATAGAATTTTGTTAGGATTCAAACTCCTAAAAATATGATAGAGTTCTACTATTATTTAAACTCCTAAAGATAGGATCCACAAGCATTATAAATAGTCATTGTAACTCACTATTGTAGATCTAGTCCCCGAGGCTTGTGTTTTTGAAAAACTATTCGGATTTTTATAAACGGGTCGGGTGGATCCGCGTGTTTTGTCATTTTTTTTTCGATTGGCTTTTAATTTTGACCCCAAATTCATTTTTTATTTTAATTTAACCCTTATTATTTATATGTATATATGTATATATTTAATTATATTTTATTTATTATAATTTTTTTCATTTTTCTTTACGTTATATTATATTATTTTCCTATTATTATATATATATTATATTATTATTTTTTATCTATGTTTACTTATTTATTATGTTTTTTTTACTATATTTTCCTAACGTTATATATATATTCTTACTTTATTTTATTTTATATTTCTATGATTACTATTTTTTTAGATAATATTATATGTATATTTATTTTTCATTTATTTATTATTATTATTACTATTTAGTATTTTATTATATTATACATACATTTTTATATTTATATATATATATTTTTTATTATTTTATTTATACTATTTATTTATTTTCATTATATTTTTAGTTTCTTTGCTCTTATTATTATTTTTCTTTTTAAAAAAAAACACTTTACCTTTTTATTCTTTTTGTATATATATTTTATCTTCATTTATTTTATTTTATTCAATTTCATTTTTTTTCATCCAATTATTTTATGTTTATTATTATTGGTTTCATTTATTTCCTTGGTTTACTCTTTAGTTTTGTTACTTTCTTTTATTATTATTATTTTCTTTTAAAATCTTTTTTTAAGGGTATTTCCGTAAACTCATTAAGGGTAAGTAATTCGGATCAATTTTTACCTTTTAATTTAACTTGCAATTTTCTTAATCAAAGACAACTGGAAATTACGTAGTACCGAAAGGACGGTTCAAGGGTGCTAATCCTTCCTTGACCGTAACCGACTCCCGAACCCGACACATCTTTGGAAAGACGCAGATCATGTAAGAAATAGGGTATCCGATCAACCCATTTGTTTTAAATAAATGATCGGTGGCGACTTCAATCCACATTTTTCAAGTCGAAGCCCAATTCCGGTGCCCAACCGAAAGACGGTTGCGACAATGGGTATAGCTACAGGTTTACAATTAAGCATGCCAAATTTACTAGAAGATCCTTGGCATATTTCGTTTGTGAGATAAAAATTCCATCTTCAGCTTGGTGAACTTGAAGACCAAGGAAATAATGCAATAAACTCATATCTGACATTTCGAATTCATTCATCATTTGAAACTTAAACTCATCAATGAGAAGGTTAGATGAACTAAACTTATTGAGGAAAGAAATGTGAGAGAGACAAATACAATATGCACCACTTGTCATGCCTCAGAACCTTCAAGCCCAAATTGTCACAATATCAGAGTTAAGGTCTGACGGGTCGTGTGACCTTAGACGCTTCTTGACACTTTTGGGTCTTCTTTGCGACTAAGTAAGCCTTGTCCAAGCCTAGTGAGCATACAAATTCACCAAGGTTGGAACCAAGCCCTTAAGGCTTCTAGGATGTGGAAGCTTTACTCCAAGCCACCAAGATTAGACTATGGTGTGGAAGAGCAGACACAAGCGTGACTACTCCTAGCCACCCCACCAGGAGAGGCAACAATACAAAAAGACTTAAGAATAAAGCACACAAGAGATCAAGCAAATGCCTTAGAACTTTATTACTCTCTTATTCTATTGAAGAATTAATAAAACAAAGCAAAAATACTTATATTTATAGGCTTATAAAGAAACTACATTGGCATAAAAATAGCTAACAACTTATTCCATTAAACTAAAAATCTGGAATTAACAAAGATTTCACCAAGATACTCGGTCAATTAAACAACCCACTACTTTGAATTAATTCTCAACAATATCACAATATTACCAAGTCATATTTTAATAAATTTATTAAATTTTAATAACTTTCTTTATAGATTTTTCTTTAAATTATTGAAAATCATATGTTATAAAATTGCATTATGTCACGTAATAATAATATTATAAAATGTTATAAAGATCTAATGGTCAAAGGACTTGTTGATCTAATTTTTGGTTTAAAAAACTAATTGATTTAATTTCTCGATTTGAAGATTCAATTGGATATAAATTATTTTTTCTAAAAGTTTAAATGCTTTATGCACCTTTAAACTATGACCTATTACAAAAATAAGTGTCTAAACTATCATCTTTTTCCGTTTAGGTTACTAAACTTTTTTTAGGTCAATCAGGTACCTAATGTTTTCAATGTTACCCTTTTAGACGTCACATTCGTAACGGACATTAAATTTCGTTGTTAAGTGACAGGTATCAATTTTAAACATTTTTTTTAAAATTGAATTTAAAAATTATTGTATTTATTAAAACCCCCTAATTTCTCTAAAAACTCAAACCCTTAAAAATCCTTAAAATCAACCCTAAACCCTAATCTTAGCTCTACCATCACCATTGTCAGCCACAATTGATGCCGCCTCCGCCACCCTTATCATCTATCTTGTCGGTCGTCATCGTCCTTGTTGTTGCATCGTCGAGTCGCTTGGGTATCATGATTTTGTCGTTTGGGGGTTTGGCTTCACTGTTATCTTCATGGATTGTTCATCGTGGTTTATGAGTTCTAGGTCATCGTGTTCGGTTGTTCATCGGGTGGAGGTCTGGTTGATGGCAACGACTACAAACAACGGCGACGGACATGGATATAGGGATTGAAATGAGGATTTTCAAAATTTTGAGGTTTTTTGAGATTTTCAAATCATGAGCTAGACACGTGTCATTTAACAGCAAGATTTAACAGTCATTATGGTTGAGATACCTAAAAGTATAACGTTGGAAACATTTGGCACTTAGATTGATCGAAAAATAATTTACGTACCTAAATGAAAAATTGTGTATAATGTGGACTTTTATTTTTATATTAAACCTTAAACTATAATTAATCTAATATGTTTTAGAATTTCATCTGCCAAAATAATGAGGTGGTCCAAATTTGAGCCTAAACCGTAGGATACATAATTTTTTTTATATTTAGAGGACAATGATATCAAAAGTGTATTATTAAAGTGGAATATGTCTACATAAAGGGATCATAATTATAGCTGCAGACTGAACCATGGTTTCTTTTTGCTAAATAAATCAGGTATGATATCTCTTCTTTGACATCATCTAGTTCCATAGTTCTTTTGAATTTGCTCATGATTTTGGCTTTAATAAATTCAAATGACAGACCCATATTTATATATTTGATTTCTTCAATCATTGTTCTTAGCTATATGCACAATGATGTACTAATTTGGATTGGTTGAGTCATTAAGTTTGAAGTCTTATTACAAATATTCAAAATAATATTTGTTCAAAAATTTTATTAATCCATTGACAATTGTCATGCCCATAAAATTTTGGTTTAACGAGACGTGCAATTTTAGATGTTTTTGGATGCTTCTTATCGGTTGAGCCACATTTATGTTAAAGTTTCTCCATCCATCAAAGGCTTAAGAGTGTTCTAACCTTTGATGAGCTTAGGTTTTCATAATGTATAGTTTAAGACTTACTTAGATGCACAACCGACCGATAAACGTTCCAAAAGTATAAGGCCACAAGTCCCGCTAGACCAAAACGGGTTTGTTCCAACCTTTGGCGAGCTTTGGTTATCATACGGTGTAGTTTAAGATTAGGTGTGCAACCGACCAATAAGTGACCCAAAAGTATAAGGTCGCGTTTGCTTTTAAAGGTCCCTGGAGCCTAGGTGCAAGGAAAAGACACTCGTCTTTTATAGACGAGGTGCACTTTTTAGGTTAAAAAGTTAAATAATTTATTCCAGCGTACATTCACTCTCATTATCCACTAGTTCACTCCTAAAACACTTAATCTCCTCTCCACACCTTTTCCTTTCACTATTACTTGTCCCCTCCTAAAGAGTTAAGACTCATTTACCCTAGTTTCTAAAGTATTTCAACATAGAGTTAAGGTTATCTTAATTTTGATAAGAAAACACGGATATAGGACAATTATATATTTATCATGTAACAGTATTAAATGTTGCAAATTAATTTTATTATCAATATAAAATCTTATATAACTCTAAATTATTATTAAAAAATTTATTAATAAATATTATTTAAATTAATACTTTATTAATTTAAAATTATATATATATATATATATATATATTATTACGAAAATTAATTAAGAAAAATATTATACTTTTGATTAAAAGCTAGCAAACACTAAAAAGAAGTTCTAGGGCTTGTTATAAATAAAAATTATTAGAGTTGGGCTATTGGTTTGGGCTAATTAATAGAATATGTGTTAGGGATAATATATGCTAGGGTTAAGGAAATTAAAGAAAGAAAGAGTTGTGCGTTCTTCTGCCTTTCTTCTTCTTCTTTTCTGCTGCTCTTTTTTCTTCTATTTCTTATTCAATCTGTTTTTTTTTTCTTCCTATTTTCTTATCCCTAAAGCGTCGGAAGCACGCGCCCAACGCTTAACAAAAAAGCACAGGAAGCGTGCGCCACCAAATTTTAAAACTTTTACTGTGTGATTTCTCATATAATGCATGCATAGATTGGTTAACCTTCCAAGATAGGTGATGTTTGTAAGTACTTAATAATGACATGCTATCGTGATGCACCTCCGAGGCTAAAACAGGCTCCGACGACCGATAAAAATCGGTTAGCTTAACTGGAGTACCTTGACAACAGATTTAGCTCCTCCAGCACCAGATATAAACTTCATATGATTTTCATACATGATAATTTACTTAATAAAGTTCACTGAATGGACTATAAGAAGTTGAGTCAATGTTACGATGTCAAGATATTAAATACAAACTTGCAGTAAGTGTGCATACCCAATTACTAAGTTTTTAACTAATACTAATACTAATACCACCAGATACGCTTCTCTCGAGCCCCATCTTAGAAACCACGATGGGAACGGCACCGACTTTCAACTTTGCTTCTTGTTCTTGGCAACTTCATGTAGTTGAGGCTCCCAGCCAGACATGAGTCCACTTGGACTGACACCACGGCCAATCGGATCATGAACATGCTCCGAACTGGGCGTGTGTCGCAATGCAGATGTTTCATTGACACTCTTCACGCCTAATCCTACTTCAGTATGTGGATTCACGGAGGGAGGAACCAGGCTGTTGCCGGCGAAACGGTTTTCTGCTTTCAGATGGTGCACGGGACCAGCAATGCCCGGAACTGGTTGGTGAAAAAACTGATTGCTGTTTTGCTGCAACCGAACAGGAGCAACAGGGGATGCTTCCAATGGACTGCTAACAAAAGGCATGCCGACATTAGCTACAGCGTGTCTTGATAGCATAGCAGGGTTAATCCCTGTCACCTGCTTAACTGTTTCTTCAGCCATTTTTACCTGAAATTTTCGAATACAAAAGTCAACACGATAGACACAGAATTAATATTGTATCAATCAGGATCAATAGTGATTTTAAAGAAAAGGTTAAATAGTTAAGCAATAACCACTTGCAGCAGTTTCAGGCATAAAGATGCAAGACCGTGTTTCACAGTTCGGAACAATCCGAACATTGATACTAATATCTGATGTCCAACAATGTAACTCCAGTGCATTAACAAACACAAGAGATCATGTCAATATCCATTATATAAATATCAGTGCATTAACAAACAGTAGGCACAAGTCCAGACATCCCTGAAGCACATAAAAATCACCAAAACAAAATTAATCTCTCTCCCTGAGAGAATCACAGCTTCAATAATCTGCAAGCTCATTTATGATTAAATCCTAGATGAAGAAGGAAAATGAATATGCCCATGGCTTTTCAGAGTTCGACTGACTAATCTTCACAAACTTCATGATGTCACAATTGTCGTAACCGGTTTTCGTCCGGGCACGAAATATTTATTTTTGGCGGGAAAATTGATGTGAATAAATGGTTTTGAAAATAATTTGGGAGTCGCCATCGGCCTTTTGGGTCAGGTAGGTCGAATACCTAAAAAAAATATTTTTTAAAAGAGTTTTAAAAAAAACATCAATAAAAAAATTAAACTGATCTGCGTTTATAACCAAAAATTCGTTCTTTTTAATAATAACAAGGGATTCGTGGTCGGTTACGTTTAGGGAAGGATTAGCACCCCTACAACGCCCAAAATTGGTACTTTTTAATTATAAATTGTCTATATCATTAAAATTTTAAAAATTCAAAAATATATTTAATTTATAATTCTATTATTTTCAAAATTATATTTATTTAAAAATATCCGAAAAGAACTTCTAGGTGCCTTAAGACAGCTCTTTTCTTTGATATTGATAAATATTAATTTAAATAATATTGTTTATTTTTTAATTTTTTAAAATATCAGAATAGGACATCCAGTTGTATTAAGACTGTCCTTTTCTTTGATAAAAAATAAATATTTAAAAATTATTATTTATTGTATATTTATGAATATATAAAAATATTTAACCATATAAAATAAAAAATATTACTAAAACAATGTATTTTAAGCAGTAAAATTAAAACATATAAAATAAATAACTAAATTATAATAAAAATAAAATTAAATCTAAATCCTAATTAATTAAATATTTTATTTTTTATTTTAATAATTTAGTGACCAAAACAAAATTATCTAAAATTCAAATTTTATAATAAAATTAATTAAAAATATGAACTAGGGATAAAAATTTTATTTATTAAAATTAAGGGATTAAATCTGTCATTTATCCTAAATATATTATTTGAATAAGAGGGACTAAAATGAATAAAATTAAAATTCGAAGACTAAATTAAAATTATTACAAATTCAGTTTAGTGACCAAAATGTAAAATTTACAAATACGAAGGACTGCGGCCGGGGTTTAACTATTTCGTTATTACGCGAATAGCCCTTCCCAAAACGGCGTCGTTCGGGAAGGGCTATTTAAGCCTAAAATCAGCTGGCCCGAAGGGCCAGCCTCATTTCTCCTCTCTTCCCTCTCTCTCTCTTTTCTGAGAGAAAGAAATTCTCTCGCTTCTCTCTAGAAAAGAGAGAAGCTCTCCGGCCGGCCGCCGTTAGCCACCGTCAATACCACCGCCGGCCGCCATATCCGGTGGCCGGAAATTACAAATCCTACCCCAAATTAAAGCCTGGTTTTCCCTAAAGCTAGATCCGTAGGTTTTTTAGCCTAAAATACTACTGAAATGCGTAGATCTAAAGTTTATACCTTCGACCTTTGACTTTCCGATGGCTCCAAAAAGGTTCTGATGACCAACGGTTCCCTCGGTAAGTTTTTTTCTTCCTTTTTCCTTTTGTTTTTGCTCTGTTGTTGTAGACTGGGATCGTTGGTAGTTGTTATTTCCTCTGTTTTTTTTTCTTTGTTTCTGTCTCTCTCTTTTTTTTCTTGCAGATGGGTGGTGGCTTTTATAGCCACCACCGGTGTAGCCGTCGGACCGGTCCGAAGAAGGGCTCTCGGTGAGTCACCGGACTACCAGTGGTGACTCACCGAGTAACCATGGCGTGGACGGCTGCCATTTTATCTTCTGGAGTCTTCGGTTGGGACGTGGCAGCGGCGTGGCGGCGAGAAGACTGTCGGCAGCCGCGTGGAAGCTGGGGCGGCGCCGCGTGGCCCTAGGGTATCAAACCCTAGGGTTTCTCTCTGGAACCATGTGGACCGTTGGATCGTGCCAGATCCAACGGTTGTGATGAGGTGGCTGAGGATGATTAGGGTTAGGAAACCCTAACTGGAACCCTAAATATTTAGGGTTTCTGGTTGGATTTGGACCGATTCTGGTTGGTTTGTAACTGGGCCGGTCCAAATGTAATGGGTCTGTAATTATTATTATGTATTTAATATATTTAATATAAATTAATAATAATAATAATAATAATAATAATGATAATAGCAATAATAATAATAATAATAATAATATTAATAATAATAATATTAATAATAATAATATGGATAAAAATATTAGTATCTTCAGCTGCCCCTCTTTGCTCATTCTTGTGTTAACAAGAATAGGGCAAAGATGAAAAGATAATAAAATTTTTTATCCATTTGACTTTACTTTGATCATAATGGAGATATTGAATAAATTCTTATCTCTCTCCAGATGAGTTCTTCTTATTATGAACTTTCTGCTGGGGATGATGATGACCTTCTTTCTGTGATAGAGTCATTCAAAAGGTTGAATAAGCTCTTGATGAGTTCTTCTCATTATGAACTTTTTCTTTCTTCTTCAGATGAATTCTTCTCATTATGAACTTCTCTGGAAAAGATGATCCATCAAATGATGGATTCAGGTAAAAGGTTGAACAAATTCTTCTCATTATGAACTTCTTCTTCCTTCTTCAGATGAGTTCTTCTCATTATGAACTTTCTCTGGAAAAAATAATCCATCAAGTGATAGATTTGAGCAAAAGGTTGAACAAATTCTTCTCATTATGAACTTCTTCTTCCTTCTTCAGATGAGTTCTTCTCATTATGAACTTTTCTGGAAAAGATGATCCATCAAATGATGGATTTAGGTAAAAGGTTGAACAAATTCTTCTCATTATGAACTTCTTCTTCCTTCTTCAGATGAGTTCTTCTCATTATGAACTTTTCTGGAAAAGATGATCCATCAAATGATGGATTCAGGTAAAAGGTTGAACAAATTCTTCTCATTATGAACTTCTTCTTCCTTCTTCAGATGAGTTCTTCTCATTATGAACCTTCTCTGAAAAAAGCTGATCCATCAAATGACGGATTTAAACAAAAAGTTGAACAAGTTCTTCTCATTATGAACTTCTTCTTCTTTCTTCAGATGAGTTCTTCTCATTATAAACCTTCTCTGAAAAAAGCTGATCCATCAAATGACGGATTCAAGTAAAAGGTTGAACAAATTCTTCTCATTATGAACTTCTTCTTCCTTCTTCAGATGAGTTCTTCTCATTATGAACCTTCTCTGGAAAAGCTGTTCCATCAAATGATGGATTCAAATCTTTGCTAAAATCTTTGAAATTCCTGTTAAAAATTCAACATAGATGAAAATGAATGAAAATGCACCTATTTTTGTAAACACCTAAATATGATGCATGAATATTAAGTTGTTTGATTTCAGACTGGTGAATTGAGTATTTCTTCAATTATAAAAACCCAATATATCTGTCTTCTTCAAATCAAAGAATCTATCATTTTTGACAAATGTAGATGTAGATATAATGTCACAAAACCTCTTGAGAATAAAATTCAATAGTATAAACTTTTGAAAAGCTTGCATTCAGGCAACATGTTGATTCTGATAACAACTCATCTGATTATGAAGTGACCTTTCAAGATGATTTCACAGATATCAATAGTTCTTTTAATACCGAGAAATCTTGAATTCTGATTCTGATGAGGAGAATAAACTGTTATACTTGACAAAAATGGGATTCTCAAAGGCTGAAACTTCAATAGCCATGTAGAGATGTGTGGTCCAAATTCATCAATTGCAGAATTCGCAAATTTTATATGTGCTGCTCAAATGACTAAGGCTGCTGATGCACTTCTTCGGATCAAATAACTCAAAGAACACTTCCAGAAGATGCTATTGGCAAATTCATATTCTAAATTCAATGCTTGATCCTGTCCAATCAGATAACTCAAAGAACACTTCCAGAAGATGCTATGTTCTGTCCAACCAGATCAGATAACTCAAAGAACACTTCCAGAAGATGCTATTGGCAAATTCATATTCTAAATTCAATGCTTGATTCTGTCCAATCAGATAACTCAAAGAACACTTCCAGAAGATGCTATGTTCTGTCCAACCAGATCAGATAACTCAAAGAACACTTCTAGAAGATGCTATGTTCTGTCCAACCAGATCAGATAACTCAAAGAACACTTCCAGAAGATGCTATGTTCTGTCCAACCAGATCAGATAACTCAAAGAACACTTCCAGAAGATGCTATGTTCTGTCCAACCAGATCAGATAACTCAAAGAACACTTCCAGAAGATGCTATGTTCTGTCCAACCAGATCAGATAACTCAAAGAACACTTCCAGAAGATGCTATGTTCTGTCCAACCAGATCAGATAACTCAAAGAACACTTCCAGAAGATGCTATGTTCTGTCCAACCAGATCAGATAACTCAAAGAACACTTCCAGAAGATGCTATTGGCATATTCATTTGTTCCAGTTAATGTTTGGAATAGGATATCACCATGCTCATTCGATGTAGAGCCAAAATTTGTAGATTCGAAGCATTTCCATGCTATTACACTGAAAAGGGCTATATTCATAATTCTGCCAATTGAGAACAGATTTCCTCTTATTCTGCTTCCTCCATGTGCTGATGCTTTTCCATTGACAAAGAAGTGATGGCCTTCATGGGATCCAAGAACAAAGTTGAACTGTTTATAAACATGTACATGAAGTGCCAA